GGAGATCAGACAGTCAGCAAGATCTGGCGTCCTTGGCGGTCTCTTGGTATGTTTGCAGTCATGGCGCGGCGAGGAGGGGGGGGGGAGGGGAGGGGGGGAGGAGGGGGGAGGAGTTGGGAGAACGCAAAATGAGGGAAGGGTAATGGATGAAGAACAGGAAGCATGGCGGAGAAGGGGAAGAGGAAGGGTGGAATGGGGAAGGGGTGTGAAGAGAAGTAGGAGGAGGAAGAGGGAGAAGAATAAGGACGAGGAAAGATGTAATGGTGGGGTGGTAAGGAGGAGGAGGAGGGGAGGAGGGGGAGGAGGAGGAAAAGGAGAATCAGGAGGAGGAGGAGCAATGGGGGAGGGGGGGAGAGAGGAAGAGAGATGAGGAGGAGAAGAAGGAGAGAGAGAGAGAGAGAGAGAGAGAGAGATAGAGAGGAGAGAGGAGAGAGAGAGAGAGAAGAGAGGAGAGAGAGAGAGAGAGAGGGAGAGAGGGAGGGAGGGAGAGAGGGAGAGAGGGAGAGAGAGGAGAGAGGGAGAAAGAGAAAAGACCGACAGAGACAGAGAGCCAGACAGAAAGAAAGAAGAAAGTATGAGCGAGCAAGAGAGAAGAGAGAGAGAGAGAGAAGAGAGAGAGAGAGAGAGAGAGAGAGAGAGAGAGAGAGAGAGAGAGAGCGAGAGAGAGAGAGAGAAGAGAGAGAGAGCAAAACAAAGCGAGAGAAAACGAGAGAGCCAGAGAGAGCGTCGCTTGGCACCCAGACGCCGGCACGACCCGCAGCTCAGACAAGCGCTGGTGGCCGAAAGCAGACTAAAAAAATACGACAGAAAGAGAGAGAAAGAAATGAAGAGAGAGGGCGATATTAAGGGCAGCGAAGCAAAGATATGATAAACGAGGGAGAGAAAATGAAAATGAATGAAGGAGGAAGTAAGGGAGCGAGGGTGGGGGAGGGAAGAAGAGAGAGAGAGAGAGAGAGAGAGAGAGAGAGAGAGAGAGAGAGAGAGAGAGAGAGAGGAGAGAAGAGAGAGAGAGAGAGAGAGAGAGGAGAAAGAAAAGAAAGAAAGAAAAAAAAAAGAAAGAAAGAGAGAAAGAGAAAAAGCAAGAGAGAGAGAGAGAGCGGGCGTGACTAGAAGGAGACAGACATAATTGGGAGAGAGTGGGCGGCGGGTGCTCCCCCCCCCTCCCCCCTCCCCCAAGCGGGTGTTGAGGGTGCTTTTACAAACATAAGCGATAGACTCGTTTCCCTCCGGAGCAGAAGCCTCGTGCGGACGACTGCGTGCCTGCTTGCAAATATTTGCGTGGAGACATTCACATACAGTGAGTGAGGGAGAGACGTGAGTGAGTGCAGTGAGTGAGTGTGAGAGTGAGTGTGAGTGCAGTGATGAGTGAGTGAGTGAGTGAGTGAGTGAGGGTGAGTGAGGTGAGTGAAGTGAGTGAGGCATTGAGGTGAAGTGAATGAGTGAGAGAATGAATGAGTGAGGGAGTGAGTGAGAGTGAGTGAGTGAGTGAGTGAAGTGAGAGAATGAGTGGGCGAGTGAGGGAGTGAGGGAGAGATGAAGGGAGGGAGGAGGAAGAGAGGAAGGGAGAGAGGAGGGTGGAAAGGAGAGATCGGAGAAAAGAGTAATGGCGGACAAAAGAGGGAGGTAAAGGGGTGGAAGAAAAAAAGAAAGAAAGGAAAAAAAAAAAGGCATGAAGGAAGAGAAAAAAATATGTATATATATCCACTAAGGAGTACAAGCAGATTTTTTTTTTTTTTTTATTATTATCATTTGAGCATTATCACTTTTCACGCTCGTCTTTTTTCGTGTTTGTCCTTTTCACTGTTCTTTCTCTCTCCTGCGTTTGCCTTGTTCTCTTGGCGTTTGCTATTTTTTTTTTTCTTATTCTCTACTTCTACTTCTTTCTCTTGCCTCCGTTTTCTCTTTCTTGAATCGTTTCTCTGTCCCTTCGTTCTAACTCACCCCGCTGTTCTGTTTCTCTCTCTCTCTCTTCCTATTTCTCTTTCCATTTCCTTCTCTTTTTGTCTCTCTCCCTCTCCCTCTCCTTCTCTCTCTCGCCCTCCCCCTCCCTCTCTTCCTTTCCCACTCTCTCTCCCTCTTCCCTCCTCCCTCCCCTCTCTCCCCTCTCCCTCTTCCTCTCCTTTCTTCTCTCCCCCTCCCTCTCCCTCCCTCACGTCTCTCTCCTCCTCCTCTCTCTCTCTCTCTCTCTCTCTCTCTCTCTCTCTCTCTCTCTCTCTCTCTCTCTCTCTCTCTCTTCTCTCTCTCTCTCTCTCACTCTGTGCCACTTCCTCTCCTACTCTCTCCTAAATACACAAACCCACACAAAGACATCTCATTATCTTGTCGCTTAAGCCTACGTTGGAAATATATGTAATGGAGATAGTGAAACAATATTGTAAAGCATCAGTAATGGTGATGATGTACTAATGGTTAGGCCTATGTCATTACGACAACAACAGCAACAACAGCAATAGTAGTAATAAGAATAAAAGCAGCATTATTGTTAATAGCACCATTATTGTTATTATCAATAATGCTATTATAATTATCGCCATCATCATTAGCATCGTCATGATCATCATCATTTTCATCTTTATTAATCATTATCATTATTGTTATCATTATCATCATTATTTCTATTATCATTATCGTAATTATCACACCAAGAGAAATATATATATATTATATATATATATATATATATATATATATATATATATATATATATATATACTATATATATATATATATATATATGTATATAGTATATGTATATATATATATATATCATATATATATATATATATGTGTGTGTGTGTGTGTGTGTGTGTGTGTGTGTGTGTGTGTGTGTGTGTGTGTGTGTGTGTGTGTGTGTGTGTGTGCAATTCAAATAAACATAACCAACATTTATGAACCAGAACACACTGTCAGCTCTGCAACCAACAGGACAACCGTACAAAAAATCAAAATTACGTTTGCTTGATGTGCGTGTGGATATTGCAAGTGCCTCGACAGTGCTGCAGACTATCTCATCCTTATACCTTCTAATTATATAGAGCGATGTAGTGTCATTCTTAGAAAGGGCATAATAGCAGTACAATAGGTCTATATGAGAGACTAGTAATATAGCAAATTCAACAACAAAGGTATTAATGGAGATATTAATAATCATGTTAATAGCAGTAATATTAATTATTGTATTAACAGCAATAACACTGATAATATCAATATCATAAACAGTAAATTTCAAATACTAAAAAACATAAGATGAACATCAACAATAGCAATATTTGTAATAATAATAATAATAATATATTAATAACAGTAACAATAATAATAAGAAACAACAACAATAACAACAGCAACAACAATAATAATAAAAAAATAATAATATTAGTAATACTAATGACAATAATAATAACACTAATAATAACAACAATGATGATATTGAAAATAATAAGAGCAATAACAATAATCAAACTACAATAACAACAACAAGAACAGCAACAGCAATAACAAATACAATAACAATAATAATAATAATAATAATAACAATAATGACAATAATAATGATAATGGTACTACTACTACTAATAATAATAATAACAATAATAAAAATGATAACAATAATAATAACAAATAATAATGACAAAATAAAAAAATGATAATAACAATAATAATAATAATTACAATTACAATAATAATAATAACAATAATAATAATAATAAAATACTAATAAAAATCAATCATCATCATAATAATAATGATAATAATAGTAATGATAATAACAAGAACAAGTATAAATAATAGTAATAGTAATAATAATAATAATAATTAATAATAATAATAATTACAATTATCATCAATAATATCAACCATATTAATAATAATAATAATAATAATAATAATAATAATAATAATAATAATAATAATAATAATAATAAAATAACAATATTTGATGATGATTATGACAACAATGATAATAACAAGAAAACCAACTTTCATAGTAAAAAAAAAGATGATAAATTAAAATAACAACAGAAAGAATGATAACCGCTACCAGAAATAACAACAACAACAATACCGTTATGCAAAATAATCTTTATTTAGGAGGAAAAAAACAACAAAAATAATTACTGGAATTATAATACGTCGCTGGAGCTTTTAACATTACCACAATGTGCAAAAGTGACGATCATCTGTGTCAGTTTAAGAGGATATAAATCTTACTGAGATTTGCTATATATTATATGTACATACATACAAAATCATACACACACACACACATAAACGTGTGTGTGTGTGTGTGTGTGTGTGTGTGTGTGTGTGTGTGTGTGTGTGTGTGTGTGTGTGTGTGTGTGTGTGTGTGTGTGTGTGTGTGTGTGTGTGTGTGTGTGTGTGCCTGTGTGCGTGTGGGTGGGTGGGAGAGTGTATGTATGTATGTATCCATGTATGTAAGTATATGTATGTATGTATGTATCTTTATATGCATGTATGTATGCATGTACCTACTTATGTACGTATGTATGTACATATATATCAGAAATATATATCTTTACATGCATGCATATACATATATACAGACCCGTAATATAATCAACTTTATCAGCCAATTAAACACATTATCTACTTATGTGCAAATTCCTTCGTAACATTTTCTTTACAATTAATATCTTTGGGCCACGTGTTGCGGGTACGTTTCAAGGCAACACGGCAAAACTTACACTAAAATTTGGCATCCGATATCCAAAATCAATAGAGTTCCCTCCGCTTCCCGAGAATGAAAAACTTGTCAGACAAAGGGAACCGTCAGTAAGTCCGAATGCAGTGATAATGCAACTACAAGCAATAGTCATCAAAATAAATAAAGAAAATGATACAAACTAACAGAGCTACGGCGTTAAGGATTAAATACTGAAATAAACAGAAAAAAAATATCAACATAAATGCACTAAGGAGAGATACAAGAATGAATACACGAACTAAATGGCTAATGATTAAAAAAGTACAACAAAGCTTACCCCATTGTAGGTACAGTCGGACTGAGTGAGGGCGGGGTCTTGCCGTCAATCATGTTTAGTGGGTGACGTCACGGTTGACACACGCGGCAGTCACTCGATGTATGAAACGCAGAGGAAGTAAAATAAGCACTGTAGCACACACACATCACATTAACTTGTTCTCCGCCAAACTACTCTTTTTCGAATCTTCCTTCCGCTATTTTCCTGGCACTGTTCCACACCTTGTGGTCATTATTCACTTCCAGAAAATAATGATTGATAATAACAATAATATATCTATGTATATATAACTAATGAAAAATAATAATGATAAAAAACAGATGACAGCCTCGCACTCTTTCCTTCAATGAAAAATTATATCCAAATCGGTCTAGGAAATTGGTCTGGCGTAGGTTTTCTCACTTGCGCGCGCGGCTTCAAGTTCTGCTTTTTGGTCTTGTTCTCTCAGTGTTTGGGCTGAGGTCTACATCACACTCGGGCGCTGGGGCCTCCGCACTAACCTGGGGGAGAGAGGGAGAGAAAGAAAGAATTATAGAGAGGCATATTTTGATAGAATTAAAGAGTAAACGGTAAATTAATTAAATCGAAGAGAAAACAGCTGACTGACTCAAATAAAGAATCATTAAGCATAGCTCTATAATATATTTTTTGGCATATAACAATATTCATACCTACACAGGTACGCTCATTCCCCTCACACACACCACACACACACACACACACACACACACACACACACACACACACACACACACACACACACACAGGCCCTTACAATGGAATACCGTGTATACTTCACTTGTTACTTGGAAAACGGGTGTGAAGAGAGGGCAGCAGAGAGGAGAGGCGAGGGGGGAAGGGGAAGAGGAGAGGAAGGGGGGGGGGGGAGAGGAGGGCGAGGATATAAGGGGGGGTTTACAAGGCTGGCACTTCACTCCCTCTCACCTCCCTCCCTCTCTCCCCCTCCCTCCCAGCGACCACACAGTGCCACCAACACGAGCGTGAGTGCCAACGTGTGCCGCGCCGTACCCGAGAGCGTCTGCTTCTCTCTCTCTCTCTGCCCTTCCCCCTTGCCATTCCCCTCTCGTACCCTTTTCCCCTCTCCTTTACTCCTCCCTCACCTACCTTCCCAATAGTTCCCTCCCCTCACTACCTCCTATTCCTCTACTTCCGTCCCCTCCCTCCTACTCCCTTCCCTCCCTTCAGTTCCCTATCTTCCCTCCTACTCCCTTCCACTTCGTCCTTCACCCCTTCCCCTTTTCCCCTTCCTTCTCCCCCTCCCCTCTACACTTCCTCCTCCACCCCTCCCCTCTACCTCCACCTCCTCCCCTCCCCTCTAACCTTCCTTCCTTCCCCTCCCACCCTTCCTCCTCTCCCCTCCATCCCCTCTACCCTTCCTCCTCCTTCCCCTCCCCCTCTACCCTTCCTCCTCCTTCCCCTCCCCTCTACCCTTCCTCCTCCTTCCCTCCCCTCTACCCTCCACCTCCTCCCTCCCTCTCCCCCCACCTACCCTCTTCCCCTCCCCTCTACCCTTCCTCCTCCCTCCCATCCCCTCTACCTTCCTCCTCCTCCCCTCCCCTCTACCCTCCCACCTCCTCCCCCTCCTTTCTACCCTCCCTCCTCCTTCCCCTCCCCTCTACCCTCCCACCTCCTCCCCCTCCTCTCTACCCTCCCTCCTCCTTCCCCTCCCATCTAAACCTCCACCTCCTTCCCCTCCTCTCTACCCTTCCTCCTTTACCCCTCCCTTACCTCCCCCCCCATCCCGACCTCTCTACCAGCAGGCACACACGACAGTATATTGACAGTGTGCTCGTCCCTTCTTCCCGTGTCTACAGAGACGGTAGGGGGTAGGGGGCGTGGGAGGGGTATACCGGGGGAGAGGGAGAGAGGGAGGGAGTGTAGGGGCGTGGGAGGGGGTATACCGGGGGAGAGGGAGAGAGGAGGGAGTGTAGGAGAGAGGGAAGGGAGGGGGAAGGTGGGAGTGTTGGAGAGAGGGAAGGAGGGAAGGGAGGGGAGGGGAGGAGGGAGTGTTGGAGAGAGAGAAGGGGAGGGAGAGGGAAGTGGAGGAGGAGGGAAGGGGAAGGGGAGGGAGGAAGAGGGAAGGAGGAGGGAGGAAGGGAGGGAGGAGGGAGAGAGGAAGGGAGGAGGGAAGAAAGGAGAGAGAGAGAGATACACGTGTGTGTGTGTGTGCGCGCGCGCGTGTGTGTGCGCATGCGTATGCGTGTGTCTAAATCTGCGTACGTGGGTGAGTGGTATTGATATGATATTTTTACGATACGTACTCATGTACACGCTCATGTACAAACCAACAAACGCACACAGACATGAACACACGCACACATCTATCGCAGAATTACTTGACAAGAATCAGTTGATTAGAAAACGGACTTCCATTGTAATCTTTCTTATCAATGTCGCCCATAGATGCGTTATCTCGTCTCCAACTGGGTACAATGCTGTTAACACAACCCCTTCGTTGTACTCTCTCTCTCTCTCCCTCTCTCTCCTCTCTCTCTCTCTCTCTCTCTCTCTCTCTCTCTCTCTCTCTCTCTCTCTCTCTCTCTCTCTCTCTCTCTCTCTCTCTCTCTCTCTCTCTCTCTCTCGCTTAGTTGCTCTATCATCACTCACTCACTCATCCACCCACTCACTCACACTCCTACACATATACATTTATGTACATGCGTGTGTGTGTGTGTGGTGTGTGTGTGTGTGTGTGTATAAAATGTATAAATATATATATATATATATATATATATATATATATATATATATATATATATATATATATACATACATACATATACATAAATATACATATATATAAATACACACACACACACATAAACATATACTTAAATATATACATAAAAAATAGATAAATATATATATATATATATATATATATATATATATATATATATATATATATATATATATATATATATATATATATACACATATAAATAAGCATCTTGCCAGACGAAATATCCAATCAAAAACCCAGCGACTCAACAGCGACTCAGCAAAACAAACCCGGCCCATGCGTCGATCCCCCCCCCCTCCCCCTCCCCAACGCCCACCCCCATACATTTGTAAATAAAATGTGAAATCCTTGTCCCGTAGATTTTGAGAGGCGGACCGGGCGCCGTAGGCCTACTCTGGCCCTCGTTCCCGGTCCCGGCACCCCCTCTCCCCCCCCCTTCCCAGCTGTGCCAGAGTGAGTCTTCCGTGGGGTAAAAAAAAAAAAGAAAATGCGGCACGAGGTATTAAAGATGATGTGTCAGAGAGATGATTTAAGTATGCTACTGGTTCTGGATATCTGTCTGTCTGTCTGTCTATGTCTGTCTGTCTGTCTGTCTGTTCTGTGTCTGTCTGTCTATCTATCTATATATTATCAATCTATTTATCTATCTGTCTGTTTGTCCATTTGTCTGTCTATCACTCCGTCTATCAATCTGTCTGTCTTTCTCTGCCTACCTGTCTGTCTGTCTACCTATCTGTGTCTAGCTGTCTATCTACCTATCTATCCATCTATCTGAGAGACAGACAGACAAAGACTAATGACTGTCAGAATGAATCAAATAAGTAAAAATCTTTAAATTGTCATTGCGTGACCTCCTAAAGACAGTTAACTTCTAGTATTGAGAATTTCTTATCAAATAGTCATAGTCATGTGTGTGTTTCATGACATTCATAAAAACTGAATATAAGAAATGTAAATAATGAAAAATAAGAAATTATAAATACAGTGAAGGAGATAAATATAATTCTTAAGATTTTAAATTACACGATAAAGAATAAAAGCAGCGCCTTCTTGTTAAAAGATAATAACGTTTTGTAAATACATGCATAAAAAAAGGTCAAGTTTCCACTGTCAAGGTTTTAGTTTGCAGTAGCCCCCCCCCCAATGCCTCCCAGAGAAGAGAGTGGGAGGGGAGAGGGAGAGGGAGACGGAGGAAGAGGGCAGGGAGGGAGAGAAGGAGAGGGAGAGGGAGGGAGGGAGGGGGAGGGAGAGGAGAGGAGAGAGGGAGGGAGAGAGAGGGAGAGAGAGAGAGAGAGAGAGAGAGAGAGAGAGAGAGAGAGGAGAGAGAGAGAGAGAGAGAGAGGAGAGAGAGGAGAGGAGAGAGGGAGAGAGAGAGAGGGGAGGGAGAAGAGAGTGAGAGAGGAGAGAGAGAGAGAGAGAAGGAGAGAGAGAGAGAGAGAGAGAGAGAGAGAGAGAGAGAAGAGAGAGAGAGAGAGGGGGAGAGGAGAGAGAGGAGAGGGAGAGAGAGAGAGGAGAGGAGAGGGAGAGAGAGAGAGAGAGAGAGAGAGAGAGAGAGAGAGAGAGAGAGAGAGAGAGAGAGAGAGAGAGAGAGAGAGAGAGAGAGAGAGAGAGAGAGAGAGAGGAGGAGAGAGAGAGAGAGAGAGAGAGAGAAGAGAGAGAGAAGAGGAGGAGGGAGAGAGAGAGGGAAGGGAGGGAGGGAGAGAGGGAGGGAGAGAGGGAGGGAGAGAGAGAGAGAGAAGAGAGAGAGAGAGACAGAGAGAGAGAGGAGAGAGAGAGAGAGAGAGGGTTAAAAAAAAATAGAAAGAGAAAACCATGCCTAAATAAAACCGAAAACCTAAAAAAAAAAGAAAAAAAACTAAAACTAATGAACAAACAGACATACTAAAAGAGACAAAAAAAGAGAGAGAAAAAATAGCCCCAAAGAGAAAAGACGAAAACGTGAAATCAAAGCAGGAGAAAGTGGTTTGCATCTGACCGTGGACCGCCAGGCTGCTCTCGCCTCGTGTTATAATCATTATCATTAAGAACCGCTTGGCCTGTGTTGCTATTACATTAACTTATTTCTTGTTGTCTTTCTTTTTTCTTTTTTTCTTACTCGCTTTCTATTAATAGTTATAATGTATGTGTTGCTAGTAGGTGTGTTTTTATTCATGCTAGGATATAACTTTCACTTTGATATAAATATAAATACGTTTTATTTTCGTTTAAAATAAGTCAATTTTTTTCATAAGAGTAAATTGAGGTTATAAGTATATATACTTTTTTGAGGTTATATTCACTATTATCCTATCACTATTCTCGACATCATTAACATTATTAAGAACATCATTCGCAGCGTTCATACTATTTGCATAACTTTTATCTTGTCTACGCTGTGCTACTTTACTTGTTATATACTAAAAAAGATCTTCAGCCTTAACTTTTTAACTGAATTATTCTAGATTCACCAAACATCGCTATTTGTGTGTAAATAGGCTGTTTGTTTGTTTGTGTGTGCGTACGTTTGTATGTGTGTGTATTTGTGTGTATGTGTGTGTACATAAACATATACATGTATGTATGTGTGTGTGTGTGTGTGTGTGTGTGTGGTGTGTGTGTGTGTGTGTGTGTGTGTGTGTGTGTGTGTCGTGTGTGTGTGTGTGTGTGCACTTAAACATATACATGTGTGTGTGTGTGTGCGTGTGTGTGTGTGTGTGTGTGTGTGTACTTATACATATACATATATATGTG